GTAGGAGAATTGTTGCGCTTGGTAGGGAGGGGTCGGGGTCGAGGCTGCGAGACTCTCGATGTGGCTGTGGGTGGCATCGCTCTTTTCGGGGAATTCACCACCGTCTTGCTCCTCTTCGAACTCGGGCTCGTACGTCGTCTCCGGCAGGAAGAAGAAGGTCGTGACCAGGTTGACGGCCGCCACGATCAGGCACACGATGAAGAACCAGCGCCAGCCGCGGGCGGCGACCAGGTAGCCCGCAATGACGGGTCCGACCTGGGACCCGGCGGAGAGGAATAGGGCGTACATCGCCATTGCGCTTGAGTAGTTGCGCTCGTAGAACATGTCTGTCCTGGTCAGCAACCTGATACTGCCAGCTGCGAAACTGAGAGAACATACCGGCTAGAATACTAGGACCCAACGATTCAATTGAGCCGTAGCCTTTGACAGATGTTAGTTTCCGTTTGGAACGAATGAGCAGCGCACTGCATGATACACAACCTACCAAAACTGGCAAACACCCTAGCGCCCAACAAACTGTTATAATCCTTCGCCACAACCGTCCAAATTATCCCCGCCACGAACATCGCCATGGAGATCAGGACTATGGGCCGCTTGCCAAACGCCAACGCCAATGGCATCCAGAAGAGGTTGGCGAGGCCCATGCTGAGGACGGACCATGAGATAAGGTCGGCGAGCTTCTGATAGCTGACGTGCAAGTCCATGGCCAGTGACTCGAAACCCGTCGCTATGCCGGACTTTGTCCCGAGATCAGAATCTCCCCTCAGTGATGCAACAGATGAGAACAAGGACAGTCATACCGAGTACATGTTCCCCATGAACACAAAAACATTGACCGTCAGGAGAGCTGCATATCGGACCCGACGGGGGTAAAGCTATGAGAAGAGAGCATGTCAGTGTCAATGGCCCTGCCACCTCGCCAGACTCCATTCAGGTCACCAACCTTCGGATCGAGTTTCGTTGTCATGGTGGTATGTGTGCGTTCACCCACGCCGTACTTAACGGACTGTGAGTTTCAGAGCCCAAGACTTGAGAAACCAGACAGAAGAGCAAGGGTGGGGAGGGACATCTCGAGACACTTATACCCCATATGGCATACCCCATGGGGAAAACCCGCACCAAGCCCCAGCTAGGTCCCCCTAGCCCTCGGCTGTCAGTATTGGCCCCGGATTATTGCCCAAGGGGTGTTTTCAAGCCTCGCGTTGTGATTCGCACACGGGATGTGGTGCTCGGCTTCACCGACCAGGTCGGCTCCACATGATCTCTTTGCGGACGAATCCAGATAGGATTATCCAGTCTTTCACAGGTCTCTACCAATGGCGAGTGCAGGTCATGGTGGTCCATGCTCCTTATCGCCATGACTTATGCCTATTGAGGGGGTGGTTCATCTATCAACGGTAGTGATTGGCGTCCTGATAATCCAATATCGTGGGATCATAGGCTCGCTCGTAGCTTAGGCCTTGCTGATGGCGGGGTCTCAAATAGCTTGTATGCAGCGGAGTCTCCTAATGGTGTCAGATCCTGGTCATTGTAATAATAATTGGTGATTGGTGAGGGGGCGAAGGTAGGAAGTACCTTGAACGCCAGAGGACGTGCGTCAAACAAGCACGTGGGCAGATCATCGCCAAACCTGTGTGGACGAGACCTGGAGATTATCAAGCCTTAAGCTCATTGATATGATCAGCTTTGCCTTTTCCGTATCAGAACCAAACTTGTTGGGATTTCTCGCATCGGCTATGACGCGAAGTCATGCTCGCCAACTCAATCTCCGGAGCGAGGTGTGGTGATCCCTGAGTGGCCAACATGACCTGTGACAGGCGGAGTCTTCTCTAAGACGGCTCTAGCCCAACCATCTCACTTTCGAGCCTTCCTTCCGCTGAGCAGCTGCAGTCAAAAGCACACTGAGAGTTGCGTGGCAACGGGAATGCAAGCGAGGTGGAGAACAACCATGAATTCTGGGGTAGAGTGGGGGAGGCAACACGAACTGTCAGAGTCATGCGGGGGTGGAATTCCCAGACTAAGACCAAGAGAGAGGAGAATCCGGGGCAGTGATTACAATGCACCTCGGATATAAGCCCCGGATAACCCGACCTCCCCGGCAAAGCCGAGCAACCACCTTTCTGTACGCCGTAGATGGTAACCCCCAATACGGTAATTGGAAGCTGTCTTGCGCCCATGCCTCGGACTTTAAAACCTCTCCAGTAATTCTTGACCTTCATCTCTTTCTCCCTTCTTCAGCCTCTCCCCATATCTCAACATCCAGTACGTGACAATGGGTATCATCAACAGTCTCATCAGCGGTACCCCCGACTCTTCAAAAATGGTAAGCAGGCCCGAAGCTCCGAATCGACAAACGCTCGCTCCCATCGATTCTCGTGATCCAACTCGCATGAACTAACAACGAACATTGACCCACCCCAAGGCCCCCTCAGACTCGCAACTCAAAATCATCATCGTCGGCGCCGGCCTCAGTGGCCTCGCCACGGCCATCTCGTGCGCCATGGCCGGCCACACCGTCACCGTGCTCGAACAAGCGCAGGAACTCGCCGAGGTCGGCGCCGGGCTCCAGATCACGCCCAATGCCTCGCGGCTCTTCACACACTGGCAGCTGCCGGCCAAGATCTGGACGGAGGCGGCCGAGCCGACCTCGCTGACCGTGCACCGGTACACGGGGGAGACGCTGGCGCACGAGGCGCACTTCGACCGCAACATCCGCGCCAAATACGGGGCGCCGTTCATCGACCTGCACCGCGTGGACCTGCAGCAGGCGCTGTACGCGCGGGCGCGGGCGCTGGGGGTGACCTTCCACTTGGATGAGCGGGTCGACGCGATCGACTTCGAGACGACGACCCTCACCACCCTGAAGGGGCGGCGGGTGAGCGGCGACCTGATCGTCGCGGCGGACGGGCTGTGGTCGCGGTGCCGCGAGAACTTCTACGGCCGAAAGGACGAGCCGCTGCCCACGGGCGACCTGGCGTATCGCATCGTGCTGACGGCCGAGCAGCTCGCGGACGACCCCGAGCTGCGCGCCTGGGTCGAGAACCCCACCGTGCACTTCTGGGTCGGGCCCGGGGCCCACGCGGTGGCGTACTCGCTGCGCGGCGGCTCGATGTTCAATATCGTGTTGTTGGTGCCGGATACGCTGCCGCCGGGGGTGTCGAGGCAGGCCGGGTCGGTGGAGGAGATGCGCGGGCTGTTCGTGGGGTGGGATCCGGTGTATGTCCTCCCGTCTGTGGAAGAAGAGCAGCAGCAGCAGCAGCAGCCCACTGACTGGAGGAACACAGACTGACCAAGTTCCTGACTTACGTGAACGGCGTCGACAAATGGCGCCTCATGCATCGTACGCCAATTCCTCTGTTTTTTCCATCGAAGGATATGCACTGACCCCCGCACGCAGACGCAGAAATGGACTCCTGGATCAACGACAAATCAAACCTAGTCTTCATGTACGATCTGCTCAAGCCCTCGCTCTTCTCACCCACATGCGCAAAGGTACTGACCTGCATTACCAGCGGCGACGCCTGCCACCCCATGCTCCCCTACCTCGCACAGGGCGCCAATTCCTCCCTCGAAGACGGCGCCGTCCTCGGCGGCCTCCTCGGCCACATGAAGCAGAAATCCGACCTCCCACAAATATTGAGGCTCTACGAGAAGCTCCGTAAATCCCGCGGGGAGGCTATTGTCCGAGAAACGTTCAAGCAGGTGCGTTTTCCCCACACTCATCACTTTTGTCGCCATTAGATGAAACCCACCACTAACCCAGGAGTCAGAGAAACGACTTCCACATGCCCAACGGCCCCGAACAAGAGAAGCGCGACCAGGTCTTCCTGTCTCAATTAGGCAAGGAACTCAAAGGGGCGTTCCCGAGTCGATGGTCCGTTCCCCCGTTCCCCCAAGACAAGGAGCATAGCTAACCACTGCAACACCAATGAATAGGACCTGTCCCGAAGTCCAGCCGTGGTTATACGGCTACGACGCCATCAAGGAGGTCGAGAACGTTGTGGCGGAGAATCCGGGGCTGTTCAGTGGCAGTGGGCAGGTCACGGCGAATTTGTAGAATGCTTGTTTGAATGTCTCTTTGTTGTCCGAATTCTTGGAGCGGGATCTTTGTACAGTCAATTTGCAATATAGGATACATTTATGCTTGTCGTTGCCTCTGATGAGGCCAATTCGACCATTAGCTAATGCCTCTGCGTATCCAGTGATCCGATTATTAGGAGCTGAGCCGATAGGGAATACGCATGTGTTGCAGGGGATCAGGGGATCGCATTTCTCCATATTGGGGATACCCTCGCAGGGGTGATGAAGAGTGACTATCTACTCCAGTGACTATCTTTAGACAAAAGCTTCAACCCTCGCAAGTCATATCCCAACTCAGAAGTCAAGCTCGCTTCACCCCTTGCATCCTGCATGACAAGCGACAGCATTTTCTCTTCCTCCGTAGGAAAGTCAAATGCTCATTATAACGAACTCAATTGGGGATGTCACTCTGGTGCGTGGTCCAGAGAATCTCGCTATATTGTTAGAAAGGTTGCATCGTCGAGGAATTGGTTCAAGCGAGGCCCATCATAACGAGGGTGCATTGTAATCCATCAACCAGCAACAAACCCCACCGTCCTGCGCATGAAAAGATAATCCCCACGGAGACACACTTCCCGCCAGGCGACACATTCCAGAGCCCAAATGCCCACCCCCAGAACGAGATGTACTGTAGTAGATATCGCATTCCAGCGCCTCTGTCTTTTACTCTTTCCAGGTACTATACATTTCATCCTTTACTCTTTCCAGATTCTATTCATTTTACCCTTCACCATTTCAAGATCCAGACCAATCACTCCTTTACCTTTCCCCGACACTATACTCCGCCATCAGTTCCAGTCAAAAAGAAGAGTATATAAAACCCACCCTCACCCCAGTCCAAAGACCCGATCTCATCTCCACCATCCAAGCCAAATCCTCATCAATCCCAAACCACAACCACAACCACAACCACCACTAAAATGAAATTCCTCTCCTCCATCCTCCTCCTCAGCGGTCTCGCCGCCGCCGCAACAGCCGCCGCACCAGCGACCGCGCCAGGCAACGCACACCCCACCACGCTCGTCCAGAAGCCCGCCACCGCGGACGGGGCTGCTGGCGCGGCTGGCGCTGCGGGTGCTGGTGGGAGCACCTACAACCACGTCGCAGTAAGGCCATAACACCGTCACCCCCATTCCCCCAAGCAAATGGATCCCGGAGACGTGACCTATAGACAACGGACAATGCGCTTACTGAATCATGCTGGTTGGTCGGGAGCGATAGACCCCCAACGAGGGCCAGAAGCCCGCCACCGATGGTGCCGGCGGGGATCACGGTGCGACGACATCGCCCGCTACCAATAGCAAGGGTAATGCCAATGCCAACGCTAACGCTAACGCCGGTGCCAACGCCAACGGCAAGGGCAATTCTGGCAGCAGTGGCAGTGGCAGTGGCAGTAGCAGTGCGGGCAGCACCAAGGCGAATACCGGTGCCACCAACAACAGCAATGGCGCTGGCAACAGCAACAGCAACGCGGGCAGCAGCGCCCACAACGCCGCGGCCGCGCCCTCGCATCAGAAGGGTCGCCGGGCTCTGGACGAGGAGGTCCAGGATCTCGTGATGGGGCTTATGGTCGAGGTGGTCGATGAGGGGGTTACGGAGGTGATGCAGGAGGGGTTGGAGTAGACGAGCAAGAAGGTGAGGATGATGGTGGTTACGAGTCATGGGTTGCTGGTTTTGTTGTTGTTGGAGGGACAGTGTTGGTTCTGGGGCATGTATCTCGTGTTTTGATAGCTGATTTACTAATGGTATTAGGATTAAAGTGAGGGAAGCTTTGTTCCGGGGGACGAGTTGGTAAGTTGGTGGGGTAGTGATCATCGAACGTGTAAATATTGCATTGCTCCGCTCCTCTAGAACATACCAACCCTTGAGAACGAAACGGACGAAGACCTCCCATATAGATATTGTATGTACGACGAACACCCGGGCTCAATTATCATCGAACCCGTTCACCGGTCATGGAGAATTCAGTTATCCAGCATCGGCAGCCCGCCCAAATCGTCAAATAGCCTCGCTATGCCTTCAAAGGAACAATCCGGGAACCCGAAGCCGTAGGCCCATTCCTGATACCCAACCACTGTTAGCATTGATCCATGAAAACGACCAGAAGAAAGCAGCACGGCCAAGAATTTACGGCTCGTTCCAGGAACAAGGCTGAGAGATAAGAGTAAAGCTCACCGGAATGTCAAATCCAGTCCCAGTCGGACTCGTATCCGCATACTCTCCACTCCCACCACTCCCACTCCCACTCCCACCACCACCACCGCCACCGCCACCGCCATCATGACTACTCGTCGAAGATGCCAGACTCTGCTGATTCAGCTGGTGCTGGTGAAGGTGCTGCTGGTGCAGATGTGACAGCGACGAAGTGGACGAAGGCAACGACCGGAATTCCCGGAGATAGTGCTTGATGATCTCGACAGACTTGCGGGCGACGATCGACTCGTCCATCGCCTCAAGAATCTCGACGCCCATCTCCACGGATCGCTGTAGCGGGACGGTCTCCGGGCAAGGGCCCAGTTTGGACATTGGTAGAAGCATAGTTGAAGTTGCGAACATGACGTACGTTGTGTTGTACCACCTTTTGCACGGGCCGTTAGCGCTAAAGCTCTAATCTGGAGAAGACCAAAGGTAGAAAGAACGTACCAACAGCGGAAGAACTCATGGATGCGGTAAATATCGTAGATCACCTCGATGGTCTTCATGGCTGCATCGAGGCACTTGGCGATGGTCTGCTCGAGTTCCATGGGCGGATGGCGGAGTTTGCGGGTGAAGTGGCTCAGGAAAGGGCGGAATAAGAGCATTTTGACATTGAAATAGCCTTGTATGGTTTGATACAATCAGCCACGTATATGACAGTGCTATTGAATTGCGGTAGGACTTACGAATACCCAGGACTAGTCGTTGTCGACGCGCCCACTTGGGGTCTCTCAAGGCGCCCCCGGTTGCCCGTTCCATCATGTCGGGCTTGAGCCGGTCCGGCAAGCGCGCCATCCAGCGGTCGAGCTCAGTCTCAATTTGGAGAGCTAGGTGTAGCTTCTCTTGTAATGTGATACGTGAATGATAGATCTGTACGGAGACTCTGCGAATAATCTGCGCGAAGTCGACCATCCAAGGAATAATGGCATATTCAGACTCGTCTCTTTCTGGCAGAGCTCGATTGTGGTATTCATCCATGCCTAAGGTGTCTGGACGACCGACTGAGAAGCTCATCTCACTGGTGCGATTAGTGACCGACCTGGCAGAATTGGCGGTAAAAACTTACATTTCCAAGGAAAAGAGGCCCCTAGAAACATTAGATCTAGCAACATATCGTAAAGCTATAAGACTTACCACCAAGTCTTCGAGATCCATCCAGCGCGATGATCGTCTGTACTCCGCACCTCTCGATTAAAGCCAGCAGCCAGGCACGTACGCACTGCGAGCCCCAGATACATGTAGGCCACTAACATAGAAGATGAGTAACTACCTTGCAACGGAGAGAGAAAACCAACTCACTGTTCGGATTTAGTTCATTCTGACAGATTTTCGCCTACCCAAGTCAGCGTGCGCAAAGTCCTAGACCCCTTCAACAAACACTCACCATAAGATACAGACACTGCACCGTGTCCAGCGTATTCGAAAAATGCAGGTAATTCAAATACATCTGGGCCTCGCCAAACAGCTTCCGACTCCACTCGAACCTCGTCAACCCGCCGAGCCTCTCCTCATCCCACACCCTCACCAGGGCCCCAAAGGAAAGAATGCTCAAATACAGAGCCACAAAGCTGGGCTCCGGCTGCACATTCCGGTTGAACCACAGATTATGCGCTCGCTGCAGGAAGTCCTCCTTATCGATGAGCGGGTGAATGAAATGAATATTTTCAAAGTAGCCGTTGATGAAGGCGTGCGCCTGCTCGAAGTAATAGTTCTGCTCCTGCATCACCACCGGCTGTGCCGGGCCCGCCGTACACGAGGGTGAGAAGCTTGGGTTGTGCAGCGTCGACACAATCGAGTACCCAGCGGCGAGCTTTTCGGCGTGGGGATGCTGATGTTGCTGCTGCTGCTGCTGCTGCTGCCGCTGCTGTGCCTCGAAGCGCCGCTGTGGCTCGCGCGCCTTCTGCAGGTGTCCGAGCAGGGCCGCTGACGAGGTGCTACCGTGGAACTCGATGCCGTTGGTGTGGTGATTCAGTTCGCTGATTTCGTCCCCGACCGAGTCCCCGGCCTCGTCGTGGTGGTCGTAGAGGGCCGGCGCTTCTTCCCGCGGAGTGGACTCGTTGCGGGGCAGGGATACGGGGGTCGCATCGATGGCAGCTTGGGGCACCACCGGTTGTTGGGCCGCTCCGGGACTTGTGAAGGTCGTTGGAACGACTCTCTGAGGTGGTTGCGAGGTGAATTCCGACTCCGCCAAGCGTAGCTTGGTGGTGAGCTCGTCCACTTTTCGCTCTAGATCCGCGACATAGCTGAACCACCCTTTAACAATGCAATCTACTAAGACTGGCAACTGGGACTGGAACTATCCTTACCTGGCAGACCGGCTACTCTCCCTCTGGCGGTAATTTCCCTGATACACGCAAGTGAGGTCACTTTCTGCGACGAGGTTAGATACCGATATCTTCCCAGGTGACTTAATACCACAACATACTCTTACAGTGAGAGCAAGGATACTGTTCATCGCACTTGTACTTCTTAGATCTACACCGTTCGCAGGCCTGGGCTGCGCGGGGTCGCTTTGCCCGGGGCAGAGGGAGGTTCTCATCCCCGGCAGCCGGTGGTGCGGGAGATGGGCGAGCCTCAAGTTGCATCATCCATCTAGATTGCGCACTGCATTGGGGGCTGACAGAGAGTGAAGAAGTCAATGTGGAGAAGGTGAAGGTTGTTGTGATCGGACAGAATCCGTTGAGATGAAGGGTTAAGGGCAAGCAGAGGAGAGATGCAAAGGCAGGTAAGTGAATGAAGGGTGACACACGGATGATTGAGGATGATTGATTAGTTAGTGGCGGATTGTTGGTTGAAGTGGAATCTGGCCAAAAACTCAGAAATGCGCCGGCTTTTCCGGCCATCACGTGGCCCCTTCGCCCCCGCGGGGTCCCCGCATCGCTCGGGTTTAATCTATCGACACGTGCTACTTAGATTAGGTCATAATTTAGGCCAGAGAAGGCGAGCAATGAGAAGACTTTCACATATGTCAATGGTAGTTCAAATAATTATATACAGCAAATGGTCTAATCCAGAAAGCGCCAAGTCCAATGCAGCATGTGGAGGGGGGAGTGTGTACGCGTCTCATCCGCCCCACTACATAAACACACAGGCACTCTCACAGTGCAATTTCCATGTTCAAATCGGCCACCACCGACTTGACGTCCGCGGCGTCCCATTCGCGCACCTCGTCAGGTAGGACCGCGCCCTCATATTTCTGGCCAACCCGGTGGATCAATGTCTCGATGCCGTCGCCATCCGTGAACGACCAGACCCGCACGAAGCGACTGACAAACTTCAACGCGAAGGCCTGTCCAGCAGGAATCACGGCCGTCTCCCCTTCGCGGAACTCGGTGTCAGACTGACCCTCGAGGCTGACGATCAGCGTGCCCTCCTGCACACACAGGCAGTGATCCACCGATTTGAAGGTCATGTACTTGGACAAGATGGTATCACCGTAGACTTTCGAGGATTCGATACTGGAGATCGCACAGACCCCGCTGCTCTGGGCGGTGGTGACGAACGGCCGGGACAACACGCCGCCAAACATCCATTTCGGCCCCGTGTTGGCCCGAAGGAAGTAGCCCTGTGGGCTCTCAGGCAGTACCTCCTCATCCTTCGTCCATTCTCCGAGCTCCGGAGGCTGGTAGTGGGGCTGGAATACCACGTCGAATTGTTCCTTCGCAGCCATCACTTTCGGGATCAGGATGGACTTGAGATCGCGGTCGTCGTGCTCTGGCACCAGCACTCCGTCGTAGCGCTCGGAAACATATCGAAAGAAATCGACCCAGTCGCCGGGTGTGACCACTCCGTAGGTCTCGGTGTGTGGGCCCATCATCTCAGGGTTATGGATCACGGTCTAGAACATATGGGTCAGTTTCGGGTCGTAGAGAGGAAGGTTTTTCTGGAAGCCAAGGCGGCCTGCCGTTGCAACGTACAGGAGGCACATATGCGAAATCTCCGGGCCCCATGATACGGCACTTGTCTCCATTCCAAAGCTTCAGAAACCCTTTCGTTACCAAGAAAACATCGTGTGCATGGTTGTGGTAGTGGAATCCAGGTGCATCCGAGAGAACAGCGCCACTCTGGAAGACCGACATCAAGCCATTGGTCTGCAGCGACGAGGCCAGAATGCGAAAGGAGCCCTTGCTGCCGGGAATGGTGATGCGCTCGCCTTCCAGCTGGGGAATTGCATAAGGGACCCTTCCCTTGGGGGGCTCATTGGTCCAGGATAAGGACATGACGAAGGTGTATGTGCGTGGATGAGACAGAAATGGGAGAAGTTTGGCTTGTGGAAAAATTTCAATGAAAGAATGGGCGTGGCGAGAGAGGTATAATAAAAAAGGTTTGTTGAGGGTTGAGGGGAGTGACTGAAAGTTTCGCCGTGGGTGCCTCAGATATAAGGACGGCGGAGGGCGCGTCATCGGGAAGACTGTGGGGGCAACTTTCCCCATTCCCCCATACTACCTACGATGTACCGAGTTCTGAGCTACCCCTCGGATTTGCCGTGCAACTTGGGATGACCGGCTTTTCCGGTCGCTCTCCTCTTTCCCCGCAGTCAGATGA